AAAATACTTTTAGGTAAGAGCGTGTAGTGAAGCTCTTAAGCCAAAGTCAGAGTAGAGTGCTTAGTCAATTATTGATAACTTAGGGGCTCACGTCGTTCCACAGTAGCTAGCACTTAATTGTAATATCTATCGTACCATAAAACACTTGTCTGGGTCACCTTGGTATCAACTTTATAAATATATATGGAGTTCCGTACTTTTCAATCAATTCTTCAGACACGGAAAAAAGTATGTCTTGAAACAATGAGGAATTTTTTTATCTGATTTTTATTTCAAATATTTTGCGGGATTTTTTTTAGGTTACAGAGGGCGTATAGACGTGAAATTCTTTCCTCGGTAGAAAGTTAAATCAAATGTTGTATTCTCTCAATAAAATGACCATGAAAATTACTATCAGAGTATTATCTCTACACACTACACGGTGAAAAATTAATTATACTACCTACAATACAAAAATAGTAACTCCTACTATCTAAAATGGTAATAAAATTAATTAGTAACAAAATAATAAGTGGTATCATTGACAATTGTAATAGTTACTATTAATAATTGTAATTATTATAAATTATAACTGTTACAATCAAAGATGGTAACTGTAACCATCTCAGATTGTAAAAATTCTGAAAGAAAAAATTTAATATAAATTTATTTAATTAAATCCTTTATTTACATCCATATTTTAGCTAATGTACATTTTTTTTCTTTGAAATATTAAAATATTTTAAAATCCCTTCAAAATTTTTTTTTGAAAATTTGATTTTATTGAGGATTAAATTTTTTTTTTTTTAAATTTTAACAATTCTTTTTAATTTGAATTTTATTGAAAATTTGGATTTTCTTGGAAATTTCTAATTTTTTTTGAAAAATTTGGCTTTGAAACTTGCTTTATACAAATAAAAATTTATAAATATAATTTCAATCCTAATTTAATCCCGATTTTTTGTGCACTACACTGCACTACAGCTGCTTTTAGTTTATTCAGAAATGCATCCACAGTAACGCAGATTCTTAATTTTTTTAATATTTTTTACTAGCTTAGATAGTAGTTATTATTATTACTGATGGTGACTGCAACCATCAGGTTATATTAGGAATTACGATTTTGATAATAGTAGTAACTAATTAAAATAATAACAGTTATTATTACTGATTACCATCATAATAGTAGTAGTTACCATCAGGATAGTAAATACTACAATTCAGATGGTTTACTTAATTATTTAAATAATATTTACTACTATCGAATTCAGTTAATAGATTTTAACATAACTAGATAACAAACTCTACTATAAAATTTTCTCCGTGTAGTATGAATGCTTTATTACATCATATTTTTATTACATCAAATCAATTTTTTAACATATTAAAATAACATTTTAATTAATCATGCACCATGGTTCGATGAACTAATAAAAGTATGACAATAAAAATAGTTGAAGAAAAAATCAAAAGTACTTTGTAATACTAAAGCATTCTTTAACATTTCACAATTAATATTCAATAAAAATTTTTTAGACAAAAAAGAATCATATTTTCCGTGACAAAACAGATTAGTTTAATAAAGATTACGGTTATCAAATATGATAAAGTGTCGCCTGTTATGAAACAGGACTTTTATGCAAATTATAAAAAACCCAACGGACTTCGGGATGCTATATAAAATATTACTCTCTATAGAGATATACATGCCTTGGCAGTAACGAAATGCTGTAGCATCAAATGTATTTTTTTATTCACGTAAAAAGAGATAGATTGAAAGGGGCTGGCCGTTAGCTACCCTCTCAAGTTTGGCCCAGATTCAAAGACGCCAGCCGAGCAACCCAAACTTCTCTCTCCCTATTGGTCGATAAACTGGAACAGCGCGAAAGGGTGGATCCAATTCCGAGAAGTTTTTTATATTTTCACTTCGTACCTTTTCGAATCTCTAAGGGATATAGATCACGAGTACATCTGGCTACTTTAGCACCTCTCAGTCTCATGCGATCAGATGCTTAGTGACCTTCTTTAGAGCATCGTAGCTATATAAAATATTCTTTAAGTTTTATCATCGACCAGTTAAGAAGATAGCTGAAACAAGATTTATACTCTCGGAGGTTTCTCAGATTTTCTTCAAATCAGTAAGTAATTTTTTGAATATTTTTTTAATTATCAATTAAATGAATGTGTAATAGTTATAGTTTATGGTGATAATTACGGATAATTAATTAATATTTGCTTGTGTTATTTTTGAACATTCGAATGAATGTAAATGATATCTCGAGGTCATGTATATAATGAAAATCTTGAAGATAAAAAATAAGAAAATATCTTATCGCGATCAGATGAGTGTTTTCATTTTGTTTTAAAGTTAACAAATTAAATGTGATACAGTTTATTGTGATATTGGGGGATTCCGATGACAATTATTAATTAATTCTTCATTCTTAACTACCTTTTACGATAGAAATTTAATTCAATGAATTGAAGTGTAGACTGTAGACATTCAAGTGCTTTACCTGTTTTTAAGAACTACGAGCAGAACCTGCTCACTTCGTGAAGAATGAACAAGTAATTCTACCTTTTTAATTATAAGGATATTTTTTTTTTTCATTTTAGACATACAAAATTGAATTTAAATGACTAGAATTAAAAAAAAACTTTTTTTATTTCTTCCATCATTTCTCAAATTTTTTATTAATGGTTTCGAAGTTGAGTGTTTTTTTTAGAATATTATTAGGAGAATAAGATAAATATGTGATAAAAATTTTTAGTCATATATGTCGATCATATAAATAATTAATTAGTTAATACAGAATGTTCATGGCAGTAATTGAACACATTTAGGTAGACCCGTAAAAAAATTTTCTGATAAGGCCATATGTACTCATATATGATCATATTGATCATATTAAATTTAATATATAATTAAAAAAGTAATTAAATAAAAAAAAATTTTTTTTTTAGAATACGTTAATTAACATCTCAATAATTAGTCAAAGATTGGTGTATTATGTGATTAAATTAAAAATCAATGTCAGATAAGCTCCTTAGGAGAGTTAAAAAAATGATTTTTATTTTTTATAATTTAACTTTCTTGTAAGGAGACGATTCAGCGATCATGCGACCTCTGTTGGAGATTTTCAACACTAACTTTGGTTGAAAAATTACATGTGAGCATATCAAGTCATATCAGAACATATAAAGCCAGATACTTCCGGGTATTGCCTGATATGGCTAATTTTCATACCCAGAAAACAAAATTAACTTGAATCAAGAAAATAATTTTGAAGAACTTTTTCGCTTTGATTTGAGTCGAAAAATTTTTAAACTAAGTAAATCTTACTTGATTTAAGAATCTTTCGCCTTGATTCAAGACAATGAATCTCTTAAAAATTATTTTCTTGGTTAAAAAATTTTTCTTTTGATTCAAGTAAATTTTTCTTCATATATATAAATCAACATAAGGGAATAATAGGTTATATTAAAAATTTTTTTCATGACGAGTAAAATATCGTTTGAAAAGTAATTTTATCATTAATTATTTTATCAATAATTATTCAGCAGAACACTACTGGAATTGTCGTAGAACTAAAAGTAAGATATGTAAAATGAATTCGTTAGTTTAAAATTTAGTGAGTCATATGTATAAAATATAAGAGTATTGTATCATTGGTTTTAACTTAGCTTCAAGGTGTATATTATGTGAACACACGAATCTTTCTTCTGCTATATATATATATATATATATATATATATATATATATGCAGACACGCTGTCTAGGAGACATATGATTCATTCAACACTCAATACAACGAATATAAAAGTCTGTGTATATAAAATTAAAAAGTTGTCTTCTCAGAACCCTAATAATTTTAAAACTACTCGATATAATGTGGACATGGGTCTTTGACCCTTCGTTGCAAAATTTAAAAAGTGTTTTTGTCTATCTGTGAGGGGCTCAAAATCGAGTGTCGTTACTGTGAATTATATATTTAGCCTGAATGGTTGGAGCCAATAATTGAATTTAAAAAAAGTTAATAAAAAATTTGAATTAGCTAAGGAATAGTAAAATAATTTATTCTTTGAATTATTAATAATTTGAAAAATTACTCTTAGATATTCTCCATTTAAGAATTTAACTGAAAATTATTATTATAAAAGTATAGATTTTTGTTTTAAATGACTAGCTAGTCATGGAAGCCTTACTTGGACAAAAAAAAATACCTTGGCTCATGAACAATATTTTTGCTTCCAGGACATTTAAAAAAAACGTCGAATATCTTGATTTAAGTAAATAAATTTTTGGATATTAAAAATTTTCAAGTAATTGAATGAAGTGAAAGTATTTTTCAATAAATTTTTTATTTTTCCATTTAAACATAAATCTGTGTACAGTATATATATTTTACTTATTCAAAAACTTAGAGAATAGTTTTCTAAACTAAAAAGTCCTCCCGAGTCGAAAAATAACTACGGTTTTGGGTCTTAAAATGCTATAAAATGAGGTTTGTCTCAGTTTAAGCCTCACCATTTAAAACTCATGTCAGGAAAAACCTCATTTAGTGCGTAATATTCCGGATTGAGACAAAATATGAGACATTTCTAAAGGAAATATAAATTGAATATGAGGTTAAAATGAGGTTTATCTAGTATACCGAATTTTCTTACTCCAGGGCCTAAAGTGAGATATGTCTCATATTCGGGCTCAACATATGACTGTAGACCGATAGAGGCATGTCTCACACACGTGTCTTAATTTTAATGACGTATACCTGAGACAAATTTCATTTTTGGTCAAACTGAAAAATTTTGTATTATATATATATATATATATATATATATATATATATATATATATATATATA